TGGCTTTGGAAATTTTGCACTTCGGAACTGAATTCTTCCAAAGTATTGTCAACTCAAAAAACAGACAACAACACAGGAGCTTACTATGAAACATCAATGCAGCCCTAGAACAAACATCTATATTTTCTTTCTTTTACCTTCAAAAACAAATCAGTCTACAACTACGTACCATGGCTCAGGACAGAAAGAAACAGAGCAGAAGAAGCCATGTCTTGTACAAAATCAAAAGTACATAAATAATACTAACTAACTGATCAGAACTCTGAAATCTAGTCCTGGACCTCCTTTCCCGCTTTCCTAGAACCCGAAAACATCCGAAAACAAGGGTGAGCTTCAACGCTCAGTAAAGCGACAAACCTCCAATCAAAAACTTCCAGAATCCACATCAAACAACATCAGACAGAAAATCCGTACAGAAATATCAAAACAGAATCGTATAATCAAATCAGAACAGAATAGGAAATATCGAAAATCAGTAGGAGTCATACAGATCAAATCAACAGAATCAAAAATGATACAGAAATCAGATATCGGAACAGAAACAAGAATCGTGCCAGAATCGTATCAAAAATCATATCATACGATCAGAACAAATTATATCGTACATAAATTCAGAAATCATATTTGCTTTTACAGAACATATATCGGAAATCAGAATAGATATATCAGTTAGTATATAATTTAATATTGCTAAATTCCCTGACACTGACAGAATCTTTACGGATTATGGCCCCTTATGCCTCCCTTGTGCTCACGGCACCAGAACAAATATCTTATGTGCTCACGGCACCAGAACAAGAATTGCTATAAGCGCCATAACAGATTTCATGCGATCCGAAACAAACAGATATCAGATTTCAGATTGAGCTCATTTTCAGAATTTCCCAGGAACACTAACTGAATCTCTTAGGATCCAGGCCCCTTATATCTCACTTTATAGCAATAATACCAGATAGCATAATAATCTAGAAGAAATCCGGACGGAATTCAGAAAATCAGACAAAGAATCGGGCAGGCACAACGGCTGTAATACGAATTTACACAATTTTTTCCTGGAAAAATCACAGAATACAAATTTTGCACAGAAATGTAGATAACAAATTGGCAAGACTTATCTACTGCTCAGACATATTTTAAATACACAGGAAAATACAGTCGATGAAAAACTGCCGTAAATCAAATCTACCGGACAAAAATCTCCAAAAAATACCAAAGAATGTGCACCACTCGCACGTCGACAAACATACAGAAAATTTCACCGGTAAAAAAAACTGAACCCTAGACGGAAAATAGACAAAAATCCCTTGCAAAAATCAATCCGGACAGAAATACGCCAAAACACGGGACGGTTCTGAAATGAGAAAGGCGGATTTGTGCCTTACCTTGCGTACAACACTTTCCGTTAAACATCTCGTCGGACGATAAACGGCTCGGCCGTCGCCCGAAAATCAACTTTTCCCACTTTTTCCTTCGTTCTCTCTCTTCCTAAGCTTTTCTCCTCTCTTCAAAATATCTCATTTCCATATATATCCAGACTGATCGTCCCGGACGACAGCACTTCGTCCGGGCACGATCTGGCTCTGGACAAGTGTCGATCCAGACGAGATTTAATTATCGTCACCGGACGACCGGTTCCTTCTGGAGCATTTTTCGTGCCAGACGATCCAAATTTTCGTCCAGACGAACTGCTATCAATTTTCACAAATTCTGAACAAACCGTGTACCGATCGTCTCCCGGGACGATCCAACTTCGTCCCGACGATCCTCGGAGCCAAGCGATCTTCACATCTCCCCCAACTTCAGAAAAATGTCGTCCTCGACATTATCCAATCAAGAATGGCTCAGAACAAGTACGTGGACGAACTGTCTCATGTCAGACTCCTTCTCCCAAGTCGCTTCTCGTGCAGTACGGTGCTTCCACTGCGACTTTAACCATCAGAATCTCTTTACTTCGTAGCTTCGGACGTCGTACGTTCAAAAATCGACTCTGGCTCCTTCATTGTACGCCAGATCTCCTGAATTTCAACCTCGTTCAGCTGACAACTTCTTCCCAGATTCAGAATACCTCACTTCCTCAAAGTGGGATACTGTGAAACACGTTGATGCCACGTCAGGCATCGATCCAGAAAAGTACAGTGATAAGCAGATTTTCCCAATCCTTTTCAAGATTTCAAAAGGTTCATACATACCTTGGACTAAGCTTTGCTCACGCTGCCCGATATCTGCTCACACACTCTTCTATCGGCTGCTGACTACCGAAAGTTCACTCAGACCTAACTAGACAAATGCTTTGTGCTCGTCTAAACTTCATCTTCTTTGTCTCAATCCAGTTGAGCGCCTAACAAACTGTGTCTGTAGTTATGGCAGTAGCTGTCTGCACTCTTTCTTCATGTGTGATGTAGATCTCAAACCACGTGTATTTCTGTATCTTAACTAAATATTCCTCAAAGAAAGTGGCAACCCAGAAAATGTAGCTTCCTGTCTATCTCCAGACCTCAAGTCCAGAGTCAAAGGAGTACGCACTTCCTGCCATACAGAGCCCTCGTACGGTGCCATACGCATACTGGACCTAAAAATTAGTGTGATAAGCAAAACCAAATCAAAAGGGAGTATGATCTTCCCAAGCTTCCGCAAAGTCCAAAACACAAAGCCCTCAACAGATCTTCAGCACCTGAATTTCCTCCAGGACTTGTCCGTCGTCTGAGGATGAAAGGCTGTACTGAAATTTGCAGTTTCGTTACCCAAGCCCTTGCTGATGGCCCTTCCAAAGTCTGGAAGTAAACCGTCCGTCTCATCAGAAACTATCACCTCGAGGCGACACCGTGCAACTGACTATTTCCTTCACATAAAATCTGTGCAAGCGATCCACCTGATCGGTCTGTCTGATCGGAAGAAAAGGGCGGACTTCGCAGTCGATCTACAAACACCTAAATGGCGTCGTGCCCTTGTATAGATCGAGGGAAAACCCATCGCAAAAAGGCCATCGTTTACTTCTCCCATACCCACTCAGGGATAGGCAACGACTGCAACAGTCCACCTAGGTCGCTGATGCTCTGTCTTCACAAACTGACAGGCCTCGCATCTCGACACAAACTCAACTTACGTCCTCTTCATTCCAGGCCACCAGAACAAAAAGCTTCATTTCAGCATACATCTTACTTGACTGCCTGGATGTACAGTGTAGCACCGGAATGGTAAGATTCGTACAGAATCTCCTGCCTCAAATCTCCAAACACAAGTATCCATAACCTTTTTTGCAGAAAATAGCACCAGAATCAGAAATTCGAAGTTCAGGAGTTTTACTAATTAAATCTGAGCAATCAACTGTTGAATAACAGGAATCTGACTTCTGGCTTCCTGACTCCTTGGAAGCAAGGAAGGACTGAATGCTCATCTGAGCCAAATCCAAACCACTGGAGGAAATCACCTCCAACTGTAATCGCTCCAGTCTCGAATTCAGGAAATCATCAAAAGTAAGTTGCAAAACCTGATAATCCAGAAGAACTTTCCTGTCAGAGCGTCCGCTACCACATTAGCCTGACCAGGCTGATACTGAATGTCAAAATTCAAAATAGTCCTTGATCAACCGAGCCATCTTCTCTTGCCTCCAAGTTCGATCCTTCTGAGTGAAAAATGTACTTCAGGCTCTATGATCCAGTGAAAATCTCACATCTGACGCCAATACAGTAATAACGCCAAATCTTACAAAGCGAAAACACCAACAGCCAAGCTAACTCCAAATCAATGCGTCATAATTCTTCTCATGTCGTTTTCAACGTCTAGAAGCATAAGCAATTACACCTTCCATTGCTGCATCAAAAACACATCCCAAACCTTTCATAAGCATCACTGAACACCTGAACATCCTTCCGTACCTGACAAAGTGCTAACACTGGAAGCTGAAGTCCAAATTGTCCTTCAAATCTCTGAAAACAGCTTCACCACTCTGGTGTCCAAACAAAGTACTGCCTCTGCGTCAGGTCTCATCGAAAGGCGTTCGAAATCTGTTGAAAATCCCTTCACAAATTCCATTGTTAATATCCGGCCATTGCCCAAGAAAACTACGTACTCAAACATGTAGTCGCCATCGGCCAATCAGCAACCGCACTGAATCTTCTGGGATCAACCAGGAAATGCCTTCTCCACTCATCATCATGCCCACAGAAATGAAATACCTCTTCAGCCAGAATTTCACACTTGGAGGAACTTGCGCATACAGCTGATGCCGCCTCCAAAGATCTTCCAACAACAATGCTCAAATGTCTGGCATG